TTCTGTTTTTTTCATTCCATATGTTCTATCTAGAATAGTTTTTATTTTATTTTAATTTTTGCATTTGCATATTTTGTTAAAGCAAGTTTTGGATTTATCTACCTATAATTTGGTCAACAAGGTTATAAATTAATTAAGAATCCCTCGTGATATAATTATTGTTTAAATGTTCAGCTCAATTTAAGCACGAATGAAATGAAATTTAGTACATTGGCATCTTTTCTCCTCCAAATTGGAGACTTTAAAGGGACCTAAAACGTGAGGTTTTAGTGGCTTAACATTCGATGTCTAATTTTCACAAATACGCGAACCACTGCTTGGAATGACAGCTAATAGTAAAGAAGGCACGCGACGCCACTGTTCTCTACTCGAATTAGTTCTCAAGTTGCTCGTCTCTGCCGCGATGTTTGGAGGTGTTCACCTGAAGTAAAATCACAGCAAAAGTGTGAATGCTGTAATTTTCAATTTCGGGAATCCGTTGTGAAGAGTGTGACGAGAGTGGCTGCTTGATAATCGCATTGGAAAGAGCTAATGAGGAGCTTGGGCAGGCTCTCGGGGGAACGCAGCAGAGAACACAGCAGTCTCGTTACGACCAAGATAGTAGCTACAAGTCTTTGCGTTGTCATTTACCTGATATTCCCAATATATGGTGTCAGGAGTGCTAATTTCGTAAAAATAATGATGAGTTATTAGTTGCAGAGAATAACAAACATAAAAGGGTATCGCAACGCTACGTATGAAGCGCGTAACACAATTTTTGCTTGTGGTGCTTCAGCAGGAGCAAGTACCTTTCTGGGGGGAGGGGATCAGCATTTTAGCTGAAACCCGATCCTTATCCCCCAAGGTTGTTAGCTCTGGGGGTATGGATGATATGATGATGATGATGATGATGATGATGATTGTGGTGAGAGATGAAAGGACGGCACACACATATAGACACACTGATACACCAATCCCCGAGGCGAGACTCCATATTGCGGTCTCCAGGTCCGAGACCGCTACTGCTCTACTGTCGTAACGATCTCGGCCATCTGACCGGCCCTTTCCCGGAGAACAGAAGACGAAACGACAAATGTTCCCTGACGGTGAACCGGATGGCTCATTGCTTTTACTCTCGAGCACCCTTGTCGATGGTTGCGTAAGAGATTTCCATCCGAGGAAATACCTGCCCGAAATAACGCAGCTCATCTGTGAAAGGTGAAAATTTTCTCTCACTTTCTCTGGGTTTAGTTAGTGGAAGATAGAACGTAGGTACCACACTGAGGCAGAAAACTACGCAATTTTCTGCATCGCAACTCCATTTCACTCTGTTTACGATGTTTTAGGAAACGACGCATTGATTGCGTCACAAGCGTAAATGAAAAATGCACTACTGAAACTAGGGACGCACGAGGAGAAACAAACCTCCTAAAGTAAGCAATTGCACAATGGCTCACATGGTTTGTGTTGTTTCTTAAAAAAAGTTCGACATCAATCATGAAACATTTTGTTGGTCAAAAATTACTTCATTCCAAAATAATCAAGAGGGGGATAGGAGAGGCCCGAGCTAAGTTTCTTATGCAGTTTTCTATTAAATTTACTAACACCTTTACGAACCTACCAAGATCTTCATAAACCTCCTGTTACATTTTTGGAAACATAGCAGCTCTGCTGAGGTCCCCTAGTATTCTCGTAACATGGAAGATCAGATTCGAGCAGTGTCTTGAAAGTAAGCTAAATTAAATTGAAGGAACGGACACACAAATAATATTACACTATAAAATAAAGTGACTATTTGATTTTCAGTAATATTTTATCTCAACGTTAATCAATTTTTTTTTACTTATGCACAATATCTGGCTTATAATTCTGTACCGCACTGTTCAGGGGCTGGTCGTTCGATGTTAATCTCTTGCATGACGCTGTTTTCACTTATAAAACAATTATTTGATTTACAAAACGCGAATTGTTGGCACGAATTCAGTGCAGTCCACTTCTCGGCGAACGATTGCTACTTCTCCATTCAAAGTCACACTGTGTGAACACTTCCACGCTTAGAAATTAAGAGTGCAAAAGTTCAAAAGGTCGTATCGGAGACGATCCTTGCTATTCCCACACAACAGAAATATTCTAGAATCTTCATAGACAAGATCTTCTCCCGTCCTTAGAGCTGTTACTTGAATATATCTTCGGGACTATCTCAGAATTCCGAACACCGTGAGTGACTCGGAATTTAGAAAGGACATTTTCTGTGGAATCAGCAACTTCGGAACTTTGAATTACCCAAATGCGGTGTTCAAAAAACATAATTCAATAATAATTTTTATTTATACAAGAATGTCAAAGGGAGTGGAGTTTTCTAGCAATAAAATCAAAGTCGAATTACGGGAAGTCAAATAACGTGAGCCCCTAAAATCGCAATGTACGAGTGTTCATGTTTTGTGACCCCAGATAGATCGCAGTCACCTGCCGGTGGAAAGTAGTAGGGATGCAATATTTTCAAAACATCGATTCATTCTGTATTCACACCAAGTTTTTTTTAACATCGATGTTTTTTTTTCTTTTCCAATGTTTGGTTTCTGAATGAAAAAAATTCCATGATCATAATTCTGTAAAAGCTAAAATATGAAATAACAACTGATAGTAACACTGATACTCTTGTGTTGTAACCATAGGAATGCTGTTTACAGTGCCTTCATTGCCCACTCTCTCGCCCGGGATAACATCCATTCCCTTGCATTTCCTCTTTCTTC